ATATATATATATACACACACATGCTGTATTGCCGAATCTAACTTACTATATATATATATATATGCTGTATTGTCGAACCTCACTTACTATATATATATACACACACACACTTGCTGTATTGTCAAACCTAGCTTACTATATATACATGCTATATTGTCGAACCTAGCATACTATATGTATCTATATACATGCTGTATTGTCGAACCAAGCTTTTAATAATGACGAACCATCATTTCAAAAAGCATTTTAAACACACACACTATACTTTTGAGGAACCCAGCAAAATTTGTGTCTGCAAAAGTATTGATGTAATTTGCAAAGTTGCCTGTTTTAAATTAACGATATATGCAAAAAGGCAGCAATCCCCCTTTCATTTCACCGTTATATTCTTAATTTATGTTTCTATCTACATATGGGTTTTACCTCCTTTCATAATACTCATTTTCCTTAATTACCAGGTCGTAAGGCCTAGCGTGTTTTACATTATTATTATTATTTTTATGTTGTTGTTATTGCCTGTTATTTTAATTTTTAGAGAACAAAATGGGGTTGAACTTATACTTTTAGAAATGTTGAAATATATATCTAGCATTACTGCGCTTACTTTATACAGGTTATTTCTATACTTAATCAGGTTCACCGTGTTAAATATATTTAAATATTTTGGGTTCCAAGATGAAGGAAGTACGATTTTCTTTACCTCCTGCAGAATTGTATTACGATCGTGAAATTAACATATTTCTCTGTGCGTCTGTGATGTTTTATGTTACACTTACTAGTAAGATTTATGTAGATCGACCAGATGGTTTTAGATTTAACCAATAATTTCATATTTAGTTTTATTAAATATTGACGTCTTTCTCTGAATAGCTGCTGTGGAATATTACTGAATTACGTGTATTAGCTTAACATTAAGGATGTCAGAGTGTATTAAATGAAACATGAAAGGCGCGAAAAAAAGTTATACAACTCCCATTACAGGCTCGCAATAAATAAACCAGCATGCCTAACGAGTAAGTAAATTCAGTATGTGTTTCTACAGTATTCTAATGTTGCGCATGCGTTTTAACGTGAGTTCTCTGTTATTGTTTTTTGTTTCTAATTCCAGCATTCTATTTTTATTTCGGAAAGAGAAAGACAGGATATCCACATGTTGCTTATTTAGTACGTGGTATAAAAATCAAAAACATCTTCTTTTGTGGTTTGAAATTGGAAAAGAGTTTCAATGTTTTGTGTGAAATATTTTACTGCCAAAAACAACAGACATTCAGATTACAGAGTTAAAACTCGTTAATCTATCTGACAGTTTTTACATTTTGAACTTTGACGTGTTGTTTTTATTTATTATTCAGTGTCCAATACTTTTAGGGTATCCCAGTTATTAGATTAACTTGTTTGTATAATTTTTCCATACAATTTATTTATCTATTCTGTGATTTATAACTTATTTTTATTCTTATGATTTATTTACTCATAAACAGATGTGCTAAAGTACAGTTTACATTTTTGTTGTGATCGTGTTGGTTTAGTGCCAGAATGTTATAAAATCCTCACAGTTGTCATATAGCTATAAACAAATAGAATTACGTAATTCATTTCAGAAGTTCCCAATCATGCTAAGGTACACGTACACTGACAAATTTAAAAGCACGTTTACAAACACATTCAAATACACGTGCGTGGGCAAGTTTTAATATACACAATATAGTATAAGGAAGTTATTATACAAAAAGGCAAGTTGTAATGCAAGTGTACAAGTTCACGTTTACAAGCAAGTTATTAGGCAAACAAAGACAAGTTTAATACACATAGCTAAACGAGTTGTTACACACACAAAAACTGGGTTTAATACACTTATAAAAAGCTATTTTTTAAGGACACAAAAACAAGTTTTAATACACATAGATAAACAATTTATTTAACACACAAAGACATTTTGAATGCGTGTATACAAACAACTTATTTATCACACAAAAACTAGCTTTAATACACATATTAAGATAAGCTAATTGAGATGCATTCGTAGAAAAAATTATACTCGTCATATAATACACTTGCAGGTTCTAAGTAAGATAAACTAGATGCATTTTTATATTTGAAATTTATATAACCAGCAAAGAAGTATGTTGAGTGTTATCGACCATGCATTCATTGACCTGGATACTGATATCGTGCCAATCACAGCAAGTTATATACGAGGTATAAAGTTTCTTTTCTTTAGTTGTGGACTGTGACTACCACATCGTTGTAATGTTTCAAATATTGTGTTACTTTATCATGTAACGAATAAAATTTCTTGCAGGTGTTTCCCCAAAAGTAGTTTATAACGAAGATTATTACATTACTCCTTCATTTTGCACTTACACGTTTTTTTTTTTTTACAACGCTTAAATACGGGGTTCCATTTCTCTTGGTGGACAGAATGCAGATAGCTTATTATGTAGCTTTACGCTAAAACAAACAAATCTGAAGTCCCCTCGGAGGTCCAGTGGTAAGTCTACTGACTTACAACGCAAAATCCGGGATTCGATTCCATGTAGTAGACAGAGTAAACTGTTTAGCCTTGCAATAATAAAACAACAGCTTGTTCGTTTTTAAAGAGCCTCTGCACAGAAATCTCCATCCATTGGACACTTAGATTAAAATTTATTTACTTCTGTATAGATAAATTTGGACCACGAGACGAATGTTTGTTGGAAACCTAAAAGAAAAAAATGCAGTAGTTTGACTGACTTCACTTATTCCTCTTAGTTCCGGGCTTAGTTTCGACTGCTCCACGCCATTGGACTCGACTTTGGGTCGTTCTCCTCAGCTGAACCCATGAGAGTCCAGCGGCCTTGATCTTCTTGTCGACGGATCTCTTCCAGGTCATTTTTGGTCTCCCCAGTTTCCGTTTTCCCTGTGGGTTCCATTCTAGCGCCTGTCTTGTCATATTGCTATGAAGCTTCCTGAGCGTGTGACCAATCCAGCCCCATTTTCTTTCCACAATTTCTTCTTGGACAGGCAGATGATATGTCTGCTCCCATAGGTCAGCGTTAGAGATGACATCAGGCCATCTGATGTGCAGGATGTTGTGGAGACACTTGTTGACGAAGGTCTGGATCTTGGTGACCCGCCATGTCTCTAAGTCATAAAGAAGGACTTATTTCACGTTGGTGTTGAACAGTCTGACTTTGTTCTTCTGGGAAAGAGATGATGAGGTCCATATAGGTCGGAAAGATTTGAATGCGAATCTGGTTTTGTTGGTTCGTGAGCTAACGTCTTTGTATGTGCCTCCATCCTTTGAGATGACACTTCCGATGCCGAGGCACACAAATTTGTCAACTTCTTCTATACTCTCTCCATTGAGCTTCACTGGGTCTTGTTGTCTGTTGTTGATTCTCATAATCATGGTCTTGTTAACGTTTATGCGTAGCCCTGTTTTTGAAGCTTCCTCAACAAGTCATTGAATCTTGAATTGCATATCCTGCTGCATGTATGGCAGGCGACATAAGTCAATTGCAAGATCTAGATATTCCAGGTGCTTCTTCATGAATGTCCGCTGGATGCCTATCTTTACGTTGTTGGTAGTCTGCCTCATCACCCAGTCGATCACAATTAGGAAGATAATTGGCTTA